TGATTGCTTCCAAAAATTTGAGTCCATTTACTATATTTTTATTATAAATTTCAACTTTGACAATTTTTAAATCCTTAATTATTATTTTTTTTTTTTTTAAATGCTGGTTTTGCCATACTTTATTGAAACTCATAGATAGAAGGAATTGAGTATAACTCAAACACCGTATATCTGAATTTTCTTGTCTAATAAAGTAGAAATAATAAAAGATCTCCTTTAAGGGTTACTCTACCTTGTGATTAGGCCACCTCTTTAAAGACCAAAGGATTAGTGTATAGCACTACTAATGCTAAAATAAATTTTAAATATGTATAAAAAGAAAAAGAAGAAAAGATTATGTTTCTAGTTGTATTCTACTACTCAAGAAATTTGTCGAAGTTTAGGATCCACTTGACAAAATTATGTTCGATACTCTACCAAACTTCTCAAGCTAACTATTCTTATAGATAAGAGGGGAAGGCTATACAAGCTTAAACAGAGATGAAGATTTTGTATTACAAAAAAGGCACCAGAAGATTGAGGAAAATGGTTTGATTATATTCGACTATTGTCTACCAGTTCCGGTCTCATTTCTTCCATATCTTATCAAGTATGGAATCTTCTATAAATATTCTTTTGAGTGATAACAAGTCAGAGGTTTCATGGAGGCTCTAGGACATAAGAGAGATGAGAAGAAAAGGGGGAAAGTTTGGGGCCCATCATCTGCCAGTCTGTTCTTCTTTACCATTGTGATAACTCCATCCTAGAAAGGGAATCTTGATACTTTTGACATGCACCCTAGCAGACTTGATAAATGCCATACTGTTTTCCCCAGAATATTACCATTTATAGAGATTAAGCCATTTGTCTATAGTTCTGGTGCATACTTCGGACACCTTTGGTCCAGCGACTACAAGTTGGTGTTGATAATTAGGTACAAATGATCCTAAGATCTCTCTAATCTTCTAATAAGCTTGTGATAAAAGATAGGCATGACACTTTTAAGGCATTGTTCTCATTCTGTATTCCCTTGAGTCTTGTCTTTATCTATTTTCCTAGGTAGGTGAGGAGGGGAATATGTTACTTCTCTTTCGCTTTATCAATAATATAGGAATTGACAGTATTTCTTATCCACCCACACCAGCCAATGACTTATGGTAGACCTTAGGTTCTTATGGAGCTAAAGAAATGCATTCGAACATGTGAGGTGACCAATAGGAGCTTGTTTATTTCTTTTTTTCTGATGTGTTTAGTTGTGTTCAATCACGGTGCAAGAAACTTTATACTACTCAAAATTCAGGGTCAAGCTGAGGTAGGCAAAATTCCCTAGAAAACCTTAAAACAAGCACTCTTATAGTCAATAAGAAATAACAAGAGGGAGAAATAAGTCTCTTGTATTTATGCAAAACTATGTAGTGTTTCTCTATAGTGTGAGATGACTGTATGTCAGTTCTTCTTCCTTTCAGAACCTTCTTGCCATTAGTAGAAAAGATAGTTATTCAACTTTTTTGGTCACAAGCAGTTGAGATTTGTGTGAAGTAAGTTGTAAACAAGAGAGAAAGGGTATAAGATGACTTCTGAAGACTAACTTCAGGTTGGTTTAGGAAGAGTGTTAAGGCTTTGTTAGCAAGAAGGGACAAAACCCTTCTTGTAAAAGTCTTTTTTGTGTGTAGTCAGAGGATTAGTGGAAAGAGTTTTTTTAACTATGAATATCATTTGTGAATAAATGGAAGAGAATAAAATCATTTCTTTAAAGAATTATCTTAAAGGATAACTCAAAATTCCCTGACAATTTTACAAAGTATAATTAGTAAGCTTTGTTATAAAATAAGAAAAAATTTCAAGAAGAATATATGGAACAATTGCTACAAAAAAGTAATAGAGTGAAAAAAGAAGTAGAATATTACTGAAGAGGACAAAAGAATCAAAAGACCTGAGCATAGATCTAATATATAGATTATATAAGAACAAAAAAAAATAATTTATATTTTCAGAAGATCAGAATAAGAATTTTTTGAAAAAAAGGAGTAAATAAAGTATATAGAAATTATCAAGAATTGGATTTGTTATAGAAGAAAATGGTTTGATTTTTAATTGTAGTTAGAATTTAGAATAATCTATAGTAATGATCTATAAGCAATGATTTTATTGACTAGAGGATTTATCCAAGTTAGTAAAGAAGCAAAATATTATTCCTTAAGTTGTATCTAGAGAAACAGTTTTTTAATAATAGGTGAGTTAGTATATGAAAATCAAAATATTTTGTAAATATCTTTTATATATACAATAAAGACAAACCATACTGACTTGACTACAGATTAGAAAAAAAAAAAAACAAACTATATCTATATTTTAAAAATTATTATATTTTCTATTGATCAATTACTTTTAATAAATATTATATTATTTAAAAATTTATAATCAAGTTTAAATAAACAATATTTATTAAAAAACCATAAAAGTAAAAGTTTTAAAAATATTTTTTATTACATCAAATCTTTAATGACTTTTTTCAAAATAAAAAAGTTTTTTTATTAATTTTTTTTTTAAAAAATTTTTTGTCATTTATATAAAGATATTACTTGACTTTTTTTAATTATCAAAATCAAAATTTTGATTCAAGATAATTATAAACAAAAAAATAATAATTTTTAAAATATTTTTCAAGTTTTTTTAAGTTTATAAGTCAAAATATTTTATGTAAATAAATATAATTTTTATATGCAATTAAAGAATTAAGCAAAACATTTAATACAATTAAATTTTATTAAAATAAAATAATTATTAATATTAAAAATATATAAAATTTAATAATTAATTTAAATTCAAAATCCATAAAATAAATTTCTATTATATTAAAAAAATCCTATCTTTTATAAAATAAATTATTATTTATTATATTATATCATTTACACTCTTTTCACTGATCTTCTAACCACACACAAAAAAAGACTTTTGCAAGAAGTTTTATATTTCTTTATTAATATAGTCTTACTACTTTCTTTAAACCAACTTGAAGGAAACTTAAAAGTCATTTCTATACCCTCTCCCTCTTACTATTACTCCTCTTTAAATCAAAACTTGATTATTAGTGATTAAAAAATCAAGCAACACCTTTTTATCAATGGCAAGAAAGTTCTGAAAGGAATAAGAACTAATATACAGTTGTTTCACACTATAGAAAAACAATATAGAGTTTTGCTTGTGATAAGAAACTTCTTTTCCACTCTCTTTGTCTTTTTTTTTGAGCTCTAATAGTGTTCATTTCTGGATTTTTCTAGTGAATTTTGCTTATCTCAATTTGACCCTGAATTTTGAATAGCACAAAATTTCTCACACTATAATTGAACAGAAATTTTACATTAGTAAAAGATGTAAACAAGTTCTTATTGATCACTTTACATGTTCTAATGCATTTTCTCGGATCCATAAGAATCTAAGGTCCACCATAAGTCATTTTTGTTATAGTACAAGTGGATAAAAACATTGTAAATTCCTATATTTTTGGCTCAGTGAAAGAAAAAAACATATCCTCCTTTCTTCTCTATCAAGAAAGAAGAATAAAAACAATAAACAATGGTTCAATCTCTACAGATGGTGGTATTTTGGGAAAAACAATATGATATTTATCAAGTCCAACAAGGCACATACTGGAAGTATTAAGATTCTTCTTTCTAAGCTGAAATTATCGCAATAGTAAAGAAGGACAGATTGTTAAATAATGGGCCCTTAACTATTCCAGTACCCATTCACTTTATCCTACAATATATTTTCGAACCCTTCAAAATTCCTAACTTATCATCACTCAAAAGAACATCAGTAGAAGATTCCATATTGAATAAGGTATGGAAGGAAAAAATACAGAACTGGTAAACAAGGTTCACAACATAGAGATACTGAAAGCAGCAAAGGAACAAGCATTGTACCCTGAACTGATGAAGTCCTCAAAGAGTAACTAGCCTATGGTATCAATATGGTAGTAATAGTGTGCTTCCAAGTCATCCATAATTAAATTATTTCCCCTTCTCCTTCTGATACCTTTTTTGTAATACAGAGTTTTCACCCTTGTTTAAATTTGTATAATCCTATCTTCATTTTTCTCCTCTAAATAGAGATAGCAAGTAAGGTATTGAACACAATAGTAAAACAGATCAGATGGTCTGTGATAGATATAGATTCAAACACAATCTTTCCCAATCCCCTCTGTCTGAGGGATCAAAATTTATATTAGCACTAGTGATCCTTACACTAGTTCCCCTGGTTTTTAATGGGGTAGCAATAGCCACAAGGTGGACTCTCATCCTATTGTTTCACTTTATTTGAGAAGTAGATCAGATGTAGAAGTTAGGAATTTTTCCTTATTTTATTATGTCAATTAAATCAATAAAGTATGGCTTTGCTGCGTTAAAAAAAAAAAAAAATTTTATTATATTATATTATCAATTCTAAATTACCCCCCAAAAAGAGCCTCAACGACACGGTAAATATTATACATACAGCAAACCAAAATAGTATAAACAGGTCTCACATTGGTCGAATAGTAACTTGCGCAAAATCCAAGAAAAATGATGGTTTACTTTTTAACGAGTCTAAAAGTACCGCCAATGTCCCAGAAGAATGAAATCACATACAACAAGAAGCATAACGCATTAAAGAATATGCTGACATTATAAAAGTCACACCTACGAATCAACGCAAAAAAAAAGTTAATAAAATAAAACCAGGATATTGGTGTATTTTGAGTATGACTTACCATCCGTCCTCAGTACCAGGTTTACACGAGAAGTCTTTAATCAAATATACCATCACAAACCCACAACTTACTCCTAGCACAAGATCAATTGCATGTAATAGCCATCTTGATATTTTGCTGGTACCTCTCCAAAGACGCAAAAAGTAAAGGACGACGAAGAATAATGATACGATTATTGATACGCTGGATACAATATAGTTGAATGCGATCGCAACATTGTTCGCACCACTTGGCGTGGACCTTTTTGAGTACTGAAAAATTGGATTAATTAGTTGGCGTTTGCCTTTAATTTTACCATTTCTGCTGTAGTCTCTCGAGAAGATATACTCACAGAGGGTGCTCCCGCCATAAATGCGAGTGCCCCAAAGCTGGCGAAAAATATGGCCAGCCTAAATATTAATCTCTTTCCACTCGGCCTTTTCTTATTGTCCGTTCTTAACGATCCCGGTTGGTTCAATTTACTAGGATCCGAAGTTTCGATGCCAGGGTTTACGGTGGCGGCATTTGTAACGTCTACCTCTCCACTTTTATATTCCTCGCTGTCACCTGTTCCAAAACTGTTATCAGTATGACACGAATAACAAAAAAATCACAAAATTTCCGTTTGAACATTATATATTCGTTTTCAATAGAGGCGACATCCAAATGTATTTACCATTCCCATAGGGAGGCGGATTTTCGAGAAAAGGGTTTGTTTTATCAGTCATTTTTTGTACTTTTAAAAAATATAGACTCTTTAGGAAAAAAGTTGTAAAAATTCCGCAACGTGTGTGTACGTGCGAATATTGTTATCTAAGGATTATACTTATATATTCTCGAAAAATATTACATGAGGACACGAGTATAAAGAATCCCTTTTCAGGATTAAAAGAGGCTTTTTTTTATTATCGTTTTTAAACCTATTACTGATATCATTCCGGATCACCAAAAGCTAGTTAAACCGGTTATGGTAAAGTACTTAAGTATGTGCGTACGGTATAAGGCATACATGTACGGGTTCTTTTTTTTTAAAACCTCAATTGAAAACGGTTGGTTGAATAGGGATGACGTACTTTTTCATTTTTTTTTTTAAAACCATTATGAAAAAATAACGCCAATCCAGGTTGCATACTTTTTACATCTTGTATGCTACACACTTGTTTAAACAAGAGGACAATCTAAAGGAAGCAAGTATTTCAAAAATTGTATCATATGATCAAAACTAGTAAATAAGCACCAATTCTATGACGAGATTCATCTTCGATGTCGCGGGGGTGTCTAAATGACCATTAAGATCGAATGCAAATCAATTATGGATGGGGCGCGTAAAACTATCTACTTTTGTAAACGTAGAGAAACAAGTCTTGCTTTATATGTTATTTATCCAACGGTTTCTGCTATTGAACGGATAATATTGCACGACACGTCAATTCACAGGTACATTCTTTAGAAGACTCAATCAAATCGAGAATGATGGAGGTGGGATCAAAAGTCAAGAACCGAAACCACAAGGTGAAATAAATAAAGTACTTAATAAGGCGAAGGCGTGTCATTTGATTGACATCCGTCTTTTTATTTTTTAGGATACAATTACAGATATTTGACGGTAATAAGGCTGCGTACGTAAATTACCATTATCGTAATTAAAAAGTTCAAGTCCTGAATTTTTAAATTATTGGGTCGGTTTTTTCTTCTTTTTCTTTGGCTTTTTCTTTTTTTCTTTTATAAGTTCTGACAATAGTGTCTCACGCGCGAGTCCTTCCATACCCTTATTCCAATTTTCAGATCTAATCGCTAAAAGAATGTCCGCAACCACCCATGGAAAACTTAGAAGTCTTATCTCATTCCAGTCGACATCCTCTTCATCATATGTCTCGTCGTAGGCAACCATATACCATGCTGCCGCCTTCACCTTAGTTTCTTCGTTTATAGGTATTGGAACATGATAACTGAAATGGGTCTCTTCATCTGGTGCTTCAGCATCCTCGTTTCCCCTTAATCCCATTAAAAAAATTTTTCGGAAATTATATATAATTTCTGAGACTGTAGCCGAGATCTCTTCACGAATGTCTTGTCCTTTTCGTCCATTTATGCGACGAAGGCCAAGAATGTTTGACGTGATTATTTCTGGTTCGGTTTTTACACCGTATTTTTTCATTAGTGTTCTTATCTCCAAATTATATGCATTTCTTTGAATGACCGCTTCTTCCACGTGTTCTCTAAACCCTTCGACGCGAAAATAACGCATCGGCTTTATCCCGCCTTTAACCTTGTAATTAAGAAGGCGATCTTTATCAGGACGTTCGAGTTTTATTCTTCGGTATAGTTTTCCGAGAATCTTCTCGGATTTATACGAGTCTTTTTGATTATTTTCCATAAAATCAGGGTATTGCGGTATAGGTGGTAGTGATCCGGTTACAGGTACTCCTGTTTTATTAAAATCTACGGCCTTCGAATGCTATGAAAATCGTAAAAATGGCAAATCGTATGATTGGAATGGTTTTTTTTTCTTAAGAGGGAAACAATATTTATAATTTAATGATAAACGTACTTGCTGTGCTAGCTCTAAACACTTTTCGCTGCGCACTCCTTCGGCCTCGTAATCCGCAAATGCCAAGTGCAGATTGGCAATTTGTCCCAAGCGGTTGTTGATCATAAAGTCTGTAAAAAATTCACAAACGTCCGAAATTTCCACAGGCCGATCTAATATTTTACGTTCTGGCGCCTTGTAATTCATTGGCCTTTCGGTTCCATCGAAAAAAATCCTTTCATCAAAACACACAAAGTACTCATCACCATCTGTATACCATATTTAGGTTATTAAGACTTCCGGCATTTTAATAAAGGAAAAAAAAAAAAAGAAAAATACCCAAGTCTCCGCCGCTCTGTACAACAAATGATATTAATATAGTGGTTATAATTTAGAATGCGTGTATCGTATTATTAATGTAAATACTAACCAGGCAGTTAGGCAAAGGTCTATCCCCTTTCTGGCTAAAAACAACGCAATTATAAAGATGAGAAAGTTGTGGAACATCAACCGCAGTAACTATCTGTATGTCTCCCGGATGAAGACACGGATTCCTGGTTATAACTATGAATTTAGGTTAAGTATAGCCTCTATTTTCCTTGCAAATACAAGTTTATAAAAACAATTACCTGCTTTCCCCTGATGCACCTTGTGTACCCTTTCTACCTTCTCGTTCATATTAGAAAAGGTTTGACTTTTCGACACAATAGTCGATGTCTGAACAAATATTTGACCTTAAGATTTAAAATGCTTTAGTCAAAACATCAGGTACTAAAACAATGAATAGATCACGTTTAAAATTACCAGCTTCCAGAGTGCCCGTCTCATCCAAAATCCCAAAAAGTAGAAATGAATTTGGCATCAAAATGCGAGCCTTATACCTCAAACTCTTAAGGGCGAAGATTCTTTTGCACTCTAAAAGTCCTCTCAGAAATGGTTCCTCCGTTCTCATCATTCCCTGATATTACCCATTCAAAAATCAATTTAGTTCATCTAACAAACATTCGTTTAAAAAATCTGGAAAGAATTGCACAACTGAATACTGAACCTCTTCAATCATGCTCAATATAGTCCTCGTTACGTGCGAGCATTCCCTGGAGCCAAGACTTCTGTTCACAACATCACGCGCCTTATCTTCGTTTTCCGTCATCAGATCTATATCCTTTCTCATGCTATCTTGCAGTCCCGTGAATACATCACTTGGAACACCAAGTGACTCTAATATAATTATTATTTGCCGGTTTAGGTGACCGACCAGGGGATTCCTGACTGTCTTGCATATCTCCAGATTTCTAGACACTGGTGCATCGAATTTTGTTTGACTTGGGCGTATGCACAAGACGTCACCCTGTAAATTTGGATCCACCGAGACCACACCCTTATTCGATTGTTCATTCAAATGAATCTCAGAATCGCAAAATTTTCTCTAGTAAATAAATAGCAGGAAACCCGATAACTCACCTTGACTCCTCCAAATCTGATCTGAAAAACAGAAGGTACTTCTTCACCTTTCCTTGAAGACCCCCAGTAAAATTTAGTCACGCGTTTAGCTAGACTCTTGGATATAGTTCCGCACCCGTCGCTACAATTTTATGAACAAAATTGGTAACTTACCTAATTATGAAAAAATGTTTTTTTTTCTTTATTACCTGAAAACATCATTATCATTACTTTTGATATCGTCTATTTCTTTCACTTGACTCTTGTCGAGTTCGATGGTACCAATTGTGCTTGAAAAGCATTGCCCCATGCGTGCAGCATATAACGCAGGTGACTTGATAGTACTAAATCGTCAAAGAAATATGAAATTAACATCAAAAGAACTTTACTTCAACTTCTCCCTATTTAACCATCCTCACCTAAAATCACCCATTTGAGAACGGATTTTGTGGGCATTAAATTCACTGTCCGCTGAAGCATATGGTGAGACAAACCAGCAGGCACTCTCTCGAAGTTGCGATGATGAAAAGGCCAAGAATTCGTAATGTCTTCCCCCAACCTTAAATCCATTATTCATTATAAATTCTATTCTCTCCTTACATATTTTATGTTCTTGAATATTTACGAATAACCGATCAAAGTCTTCATCACAAAAAGTAACGCGCATGAATCTATCGAGGTGACGATTGTACTGGCGAAGGATGCGATTCGACGGCTCATACGTAGGTCCATCTAAATAGATCTTGGTGGGCGTAATTGTTGCGTGGTTTACCCAAGCGCCTCGAGCAATATTCTTCATTACTATGTTAGGATGCCATCCCTTATGTTTGCCGCGGAAATTTTTTACGGCTATTTTAAAAATGTCTATGGGACGTTGGTTATTATAGTAATCGTCCGAAGGGTCCCACTGCTGGGTTGTTATTTGATTTAACGCATGCCAGGCAATTTGCTCATTTCCCTCTCGAACTAATTCCGCCAACTGATCTCCAAGGCGACGATCATAGATTTCATTTGGGGTAATGATCCCGTGCGAAATTAAACATTCCAACTTGAATTGCAGGAGAAATGGTAATGAATCGAATATTTCGTCTAAATATGTGGGAGGGAGTATTGGAACTTCTTTTTGTTCTATAGTGACATAAGGGATGTTCCTAGAAATGCCAGGAATTGCACCCTTTTTCAAGTAATTCTTAATTTCCTCGATACTATTTGTGAACACTAAACGATACACTAAACACTTTCCGAATGCATTTATGTTTCCCGTCCAATCGATAGTTCTTATAAACGATTCTTCCATAGTCCTTACAACTAAGAACCTTGAGCGTGGTTTGTTTAACATAGAATTGTCCGTTTTTTGATAAAGGCGGGGCGGGTGTTTTATCGAGAGGTAAACGGAAAGAGTATTTTCCCGTGGATCAAATATAACACCTTTCCTACCGTCTAACATGCGAAAAGGTATTTGAACACGTCTCTTATCACCATCACAGGTTGAAAATCCTTCTAAAAGAAATGCGTTTCCCGAAATAATTAACCGAGGTTTTAAAAATTCATCAGGATACTCCCAATCCTTTGTGAACAACCATCTCTCTGTTGTCTGATGCTTTTTTTTTCCTCTTTTCTTTTTTTTATCCTCCTTACTCTGTGGTTGACCGGCCCAGTTTCCCATTTCTAAATTCGCAACCTGAAACACGAATTCATCTTTAGGAGAATCATCTATTTTCACCTTTCTGTTTCGTTTGTTTCGTGCACTCTTTATATCTAATGTTCTCCCAAGGTACTTAATCTGTGTAAATTTTAAAATACTAAGTAGCTCGTTTGCATCCTCTGATTTCAATAAAATGAAACCATATCCTTTATTTTTTAAGGAATTTTCTTGTTTTAATTCACACCGGAGGACTTCAACGCATCTACCACGTCTCAAGAAAACCGATTCTATTATTGAAGTAACGTTCTGGGCATTTGCAAGATAAGGTAGGTTGCCCACGTACAATTCCTTAAATTGGACTTCGGATTCAAAATTGTTTATCATTGCGCGGGAGGAAAAGAGAAGAGGATTTATGAACGCACGTACAGTGCAGCATATCACCGCTTATTTTATAGAATGAATAATGTGGCAAGGTTAGTTGATATTGTTAACTACTGATAACGTTGTACAATATGTCAGCAGGAGTACTTCTCCGACTCTCTAAGGCAAACGGTGAAGGTTTTCCGGCTACATTTAAAATTAGTTAGTAGATAATGAAATAATGTTACTATATAAATACGCGAAATATACAGTTTATTTATTAAATTTTAGCTATACTGTGTATAGAGTAGAGTACTTTGGAATAAAATTTTACGTTCTAGACTTTTTTTAGAATAATGGCGCAATACAAGTTACTATTTGTTTAGACAATCTTTACAAATGATTGATGACTAATTCTGGATTATCAAATGCTTTTGGAGGGCCTTAATATTTATTTTTGAATAAGTATAGTATAATAATAAAATTAAAAAATAAAATAGAAATTTTCAATAACTTAGAAATTTATTAAAAGAATAAGAAACACTTCTATATCTCATTTTAAAATACTATATATCATTATTATATATTTATTTATTTTTTTTTATTTTTTTTAAGATATTAACTTATTCTTGTATCTTGATGCTGCATACTTTATTAAAGTAAGTAAAAAATCTAGAAACAACTGAGATAAATAATTATCATACTGTCTAAGGATTTATATATTAATAAATAGTACAAAGAGCTAACTATTTGTGTCACATCCAATCAAGATAAGATAATTATATGACCATCTAGTATAGATTAACTACTTATAAAAACAAAATGGTGAAATAATAGAAAGAATAAAAATTAAACTATAATATTTTTTATTTTATATTCAACACTCCCTATAATTCCAATTCTATCTAATCTCTATTAATAGTTCAAGTCTTGATATATTAAATAGCTTATTACTATCTTTCAAAAAAGAAGGAGCTAATATGTCAAGGATTTATCTGAAGTATTTAATATCACCAATATTGAGGATCACTTATATAAAATCTAATCACTATTAGTGCTTAATTAAAAATTCCAAAAAAGAAGATCTAGTACTATTCTTAAAGAAATACTTTATTGTTTTATGAGATAGCTAATATGTTTTTAGAGAAGAGGCAATAGATATTTAAAACTCTTTTAAAAGATCTTATTTTATATAGTCTTTTCTTCTTGTTTTAATTTATTAAAAAAGAAGAGAAGAAATAAAGATATTGATATTTTCTATTGGATATGTTCTAACCAGTATTATTCTTTTTATATAACTAATAATATTATAGATATTTATGTATTGTATTCACTTATATCACAAACTAGTGACTTATGATAGATCCTAGATTTTTATATAATTGAAAAAATATATAGGATAGTCAATCAAAGCTTGTTTACATTTTAATTGCTAATATGTCTTCATCAACCAATTACTGCATAAGAAACTTTATGCTACTTAAAATTTAGGATCAAATTGAGGTAAGCAAAATCCTTTAAAAAAAACCATAAAAGAGTATTTTTAAAATTTAATATTTAATAAGAAAGTAGTGAGATTTATTTCAAAAAACTTTCTTCTTATTTAGAAAACTCTATATTATTTCTCTAATAGATAAAAAAGAAATAGAGAAATTAGATTTGCTTCTTTTCGAAACTTTCTTACCATTGATAAGAAGGGTAGTTTTACTTTTATAATTACTAGAAGACAAGTTTTTTCATAATAAAATATAATAAGAGATAATTGAGAATTATAGTAAAACTCTAAAAGGATTGTTTTTAGATTGGTTTAAGAAAAATAATAAGATTTTATTAGCCTAGAAGTATAAATCTTTTAATGAATATCTTTTTTAGAGGATTAGTAACAAATTTTTTATTATTATATATTTATACTATTTTATATAATAATTTGATAATTATAATTTTAATTAACTTTAAATATTTTTTTATTTTTAAATAATTTCACAATAGTCAAATTATAATAAATAGTTTTTCAATTTTTTTTAAACCCTTAGTCAAACTAGATATATATACTTTATTAAACATTATATGCTTTTTTATTTATTGAGTTTATTTATACTTGTTGTACTTAATTCTTATAGACTAAACATTTTAACAAGTGTTTTATTGTTTTATCTTAATAACAATATACAATATATTTTACTTTTTTATATATTATAAATCAGATTTTTTTATAATTAGTTTACTTAAAATTGATAGTTTATCATTGATCAGTTTAATAAGAAAGCTTTTCTATTAAGATTGTTTTTTTTTTTTATATATTCATAGTCAGGCTAGATTATCAGTTTATTAATCAATTGAAAACTTAAGTATATTTGCATTCAAGCAGTATAATACATATTACAAATAACCTATTATTTCAATCTAATTAACTCATCATAAGCATAATAGCCTCTAAGTTCAACCTTGGAAACAATATTTTGCTCCACAGTATCTTTGAATAAAAACTATTCTAGTTCACTATATTATTGTCAACAGATTATCACTGCCATATATCAATTCAAGCCACTGAAATACAAGAAACTACAAAAGAATAGATTGAAAAAAAGAATGGGGAATATCTAAAAATATCTAAATAGACAACAAAAAAATAAAAAAGTAAAAATTGAAAAAAATATTTTTAGTTTCCTCCAAAGATCTGCTTCTCAAGACCTCTTCTCAATAAGAAATACCTGATTAGAATATTTTTTTTTTCCTAACTGTTTGAGAAACTTATTAATTCTTGATTTTGATTTTCTTTTTGTGAACCATCTAAGGAAACTTATCACCTAGTGGAAACCTTTACTTCCAAGACATATTTGGTCCCAACCTTCTTTATACCGTAATTTTTTATTCACCTGTGATAGATGAGTAACTTATGATAGACCCAGATTCTTATGTGACCTAGTAAAGATTAAGTCATATTGTTTCAATATAATATCTTCTAATAACTATGCCTAGTTAAAGAAATTTTACTGATGTATATTTTCCATTGCCCAAAAAATTATTCCTTAAAGATTTTTTTGCTTTACAATAGTAGAAGGATACTAGAAGAGTAGTGGAGATCCTCGTCGATTGTATTATTCTTCAATAACTTCTGGGAAAATAAATTTTCAACTGTAATCAAAGGGTTGAAGCTTAGAATAGACTAGAGACTATTTAGTCTTATTGCCTGACCAGGATAAAAAGAAAACCTTGGTCTTGAACTTTGCCTGACTAGAATAATAGGAGAGAAAGACCTCAGCTTGAAAAAATAGCAACTTTTTTACCACCTGGAAACTTGTTGCTCATATCTTATTGGTATCATGGAACTTGATCTGTAGGTTAACTTAATTGGAAGAGCAAAGTGGACACAGGATATCAATCAACTCTTTTAATCACTAATGATATCATCAGAACACATAATATGACTAATAGAAGCTTGTTTATATTCAGTTACTAATGTGTTTTGTGGACCAATTAGATGCCAGGTGATATTATGTTATCAGATATTCAAGATCAAACTAAGTTAGGCAAAATCCCTCAAGAAAATTATAAAAAACAGTAGATACTTTAAAAAGGTACAAGACAGTATATGAGAAGGTAGATAATAAATCTTCACCTATTAACAAAACCTTTATGTCTTGTTACTTATAACTCTATAAGGTGACACTCTACTTGTTGGTTTTTTTACTTTCTAAAACTTTCTTATCCTTAATAAAGAAAGTACTATATATACTTGAGTCTTTTTAAGTTATTAGAGTTCCAAGTTTTTATTCAAAGGAGTTTATAAATAAGTAAGAAATGATAGGAAAGATATATGAAGACAAGCTTCAAGTTGTTTTAATAAAAGTATAAAGACTTTATTAGCAAAGAAGTATGAAACTTCTTGCAGACATCTTTTTTGTATATGGTCAAAGGATCAGTAGAAAGAGTTTTTAAAAATCTTACTTTTTTATTAAGATTGTTTAAAAGATATATTACATATATATTTATCTTTTATTTTTTTCCATATTAGATCTTATATATAAACTTGTTGATTTGAAATTTAATAATATTATTTTTTCTGTTCTATTTTATTTTATCTATTGATAGACTATTATTTTGTTATTAATATTTTTAATAAACTATTTAATAAAATTATATTATATATATTTTTTTTTAATTCACTGTCAGGTTAGTTATATATGCTTTATTAAACATAATGTAGGCTATACTATTTATAGTGTCACTAAAGCTAAAACACTAACTAACTCACTCATCTTAGTTTATTGTCAAACTCTAAGTGCAACTTTGGGAATGATTTGTCATTCTGTTTATAGTTTGGGTGAATACCTTTCTACTATAAACATTATTGCCTGCAGTCACTACTACAGATTACTGACTTAAGTTCTGACCAAGTCTAAAATCCAATCATTTTATCCCACTTTTAACTCCCATCATTATTATTTTTGTTAAACCTTTTCCTGAACATTCTTCTTCCATTTTCTTTCTTTCTTCTCTTGACTTTCTTATTTTTCTTGTTGAATAAGATTTTATAGACTATCTTATTTTATCTTTTTAAAAAATTCCTTGAGCTTTTTTCCATTTTATTACTAGTTCACATCATTTGTTTCACATTTTTTTCCTGAAGTAATTCAAAATCTTCTTTCGCAACAGAGTATCCATTTTTTGGTGACTGTTTCTATCTTTTTTTCTTCATATTCGAGTTCCCCTACTTCTCTTAATAGATCTCTTTTGATCAATCCCAAGAGGAAACGAATTGAGTCTTGACTATTTGTGAATACTCTTCCAATAAGTTTTGTTGTCTATGCTTCTATTTCTCTCATTTCTTTTCTATCTACTATTGGGATATTACTGTATTCTTTTATTTATAATTATATTTTACCATTTTATAATAATCTTATATAAAATAAGATTAATTTATTTAATTAATAGAAGTTTTAGGATTTTTTTAACTAAGATATTTTCTTTTTTATTATAAAAATAATTGATATATATTTTAACTTTAGTAAATTTTAAATTTA